ATCACTACCTAAAAATTGATCATCAAATCAATTATGTAGTGTTATGTGTTGAATGATTGATAAGAAAATCAATCAAAATCATGAGCATCGATCGATTAACCTGAGGGTGTATAAAAACATGAATACATCGTCATGAAACAGTACACTCGATTTGTATCATTACAATGCATTACAATGTATTTATATACCCGGGTTAATTATTATTATGATATTATTTACAATGATAATGATATATTGTATTATATTTGAGGTAAATTAATTCATTTTATATTTAAAATTATACTTTTCTTTTTTAGATGAGCTACGATACTATATAACATTGAGAGGTAGGACAATAAAAATTTTTTTACATGTTGAGTTGAGTTGAGATAACTTATTTTGAGAGATAATAAACACTGTCAGTCATTATGAGTATAAGTATGAGTACGTTTGAGATAAGATGAGATGAGTTGAGTTATAGATGTTATCAGTGTGGGTCAGAGAGCTATGTTGTCTGACTCAATAGGTAGAGGAACTTTCTTGCCATAGCGAAGCAGTGTAGTACTAGGAAAGGCCCCTATGAGTCGTTGGTCCCTACCGTTCATACGGCATACCTTCGGCCATTGCCATACCAGTCCGGCGTGGTCCGTCTGTGGTACCTATGGCATTGACAAGGGATCTCTCCCTTGTCGCGCGCGCGCGCGAATAAGCCAAAATGAGCAGAGAAAAATCGAAACGATTAGCAATGTGAATAAATTTATTGAGTATATAAAAAAAACAATTTACACTTTTTTAACGTTGTTACTTCTACGAATCGTTTCTTTAACATGAGGATGTGATGGCGGAAGTGTTTTCTGTTGAATAGCTAGCGCCTTTTCGAGAAATGAAAGTGCCTTGGAGTGATTGCCCATATTGTTATACAGTTGACCGATGTTGCCATATGAAGTAGCCAAATTGGGATGATTCGGAGGCAGAGCTTTTTCTTCAATTTTAAGTGCTTTTTCGTAAAATTCAAGTGCTTTTGAGTAGTCACCCATGTTGTTATACGCTAGACCGATGTTGTTGTAGGAAACAGCCAAATAGGGATGATTCGGAGGCAGAGCCTTTTCGAAGATTTTATGTGATTTTTCGTATAGTTCAAGTGCTTTCGAATAGTCGCCCATGTCATCATACACTGCACCGATGCTGTTGTATGAAGTAGCCAAATCGGGATGATTCGGAGGCAGAGCTTTTTCTCTTATTTTAAGTGCTTTTTCGTTAACTTCAAGTGCTTTCGAGTAGTCACCCATGTTCTTATACACGAGACCGATGTTGCCATATGAAGTAGCCAAATTGGGATGATTCGGAGGCAGAGCTTTTTCGAAGATTTGATGTGCTTTTTCGCAAAATTCAAGTGTTTCCGAGTAGACACCCATGTTGTTATACACTGCACCGATGTTGTTGTAGGAAGTAGCCAATGAGGGATGATTCGGAGGCAGAGCTTTTTCGAAGATTTTATGTGATTTTTCGAGAAATTCAAGTGCTTTCGAGTAGTTACCCATGTCGTTATACACTGCAGCGATGTTGTTGTAGGAAGTAGCCAATAAGGGATGATTCGAAGGCAGAGCTTTTTCGAAGATTTTATGTGATTTTTCGTAAAATTCAAGTGCTTTCGAGTAGTTACCCATGTCGTTATACACTTGACCGATGTTGTTGTAGGAAGTAGCCAATAAGGGATGATTCGAAGGCAGAGCTTTTTCGAAGATTTTATGTGCTTTTTCGTAAAATTCAAGTGCTTTCGAGTAGTTACCCATGTTGTTATACACTGCAGCGATGTTGTTGTAGGAAGTAGCCAATAAGGGATGATTCGAAGGCAGAGCGTTATCTCTTATTTTAAGTGCTTTTTCGTAAAATTCAAGTGCTTTCGAGTAGTCACCCACGTTGTAATACACTCCACCGATGTTGTTGTACGAAGTAGCCAAAACTGGATGATTCGGAGGCAGAGATTTTTCGTCGATTTTAAGTGCTTTGTCGTAAAATTCAAGTGTTTTGGAGTAGTGACCCATGCTGGCATACACCGAACCGATGTTGTTGTAGGAAGTAGCCAATGAGGGATGATTCGAAGGCAGAGATTTTTCGAGGATTTTATGTGATCTTTCGTAAAATTCAAGTGCTTTCAAGTAGTCACCCATGTTCATATATACCAAACCGATGTTGTTGTAGGAAGTAGCCAGTGAAGGATGATCTGCTGGAAGAGTTTTTCGTCGGATCTCGAGGGATTTTTCGTGAAATGATGCTGCTTCTTTGTATAATCCTTGATGATCTTTCAGCACTGCAAGATTGTTGTAAATTATAGCTCTAGTATCGTCGTTGGATATTTGTTCGAGTAGTGTGGTATACAATTTCTCGGCCTTGTTATATTGTCCTATTTTTACTAGCAATGTACCCAATCGTCCCCAACATGTCTGATGTGAACCTTCTCCTAGTATACTTTCTGTGAGTTGACGTAGTTGTTGGTCTTCATCAGACGTCAGTTTAAGTTCTACTTGATATAGTAAACTTTCATTGTCAAGTTTTCGAATTTCACCAATTCGAAAAACGGTGTGCATAGAGAAGAGGATTTCATTTTCTTCCGCGAAATTACTCACTCCCCGGAGAGAGGCAAATGGACTCGATAAGATGGTGGGATCTATCGACATTTGAAATAGGATACCCACCGTACCGGGTTTTTCTATGGCACTTTCAGCAAAGGCAAGAGAAGCAGCTTCATCTGTGCTGGTGGATAAGAAATTATTGAAGGAAATAAGCCCACCTTTATTCTTCTGGAGTTTGTCGAAGTCGACTATGGATAATCCTTGTCCTCGAAAAACTTCAAAGATCTTTCCATGATAAAGACTGATCTGTTGTTTGTGTAAACTATCAATTTGTCGATGCAAATCAGCAAGAAAGAAACCCATTTTTATAATTGTGTCGCCATCCAGCGTTCGAAGAGACCAGTTGAGAATCTCGTAAAGAAAACACTCACGACTGTACCACCAAATTGCTGATTGATCACTATATTGAAGTTCGAACTCAGCGATATCTTTTGCTTTAGCTTTGTTATTGCTATATTCGTTTCGCCAAAATTGAATAAAATCCTTCTTGGCTTGTTCACCATGTTTCATATCAAGAAGAATTTCCTTGAATATTTGGGAGTACATGAAAGAGGGTTCAAGCTGATTGAGATCTTTGCTGAAATCTTCTTCATTAACACTGATAATGCTTACGGATATGTCATCTTTATTGCATTGCTTGACGGCCATTTGCAATGCTTCACACATGAGCGGCATTTCTGTGTATACACCCTTGATTTTGTTCCAATGACTGCTCCAATATTCTTGTGTAGTTTTGCTACTGCAATTGACGCAAATGGTATCGAGTTGAGTAATATTATGGATAAAGGGTACTATTAGTTGACCCATAGTATCTGATACAATGAGAAATGCCTTTTGATTATCGACTTCAGTGAGGAAGTCAACACATTCATCACATTGTGTAAAGATATATACTTCATTGGCTATGCTTTGCAGTTGCTGGAGTATATTTTGGTAATCTTTACTTGCTGGATCAATGTTTTCATTGAGCCAGAGGATCAAATAATTTTGAGTGATGCGCCGCGTTGATCGCATGGTAAGCGATGGATCTGTTGTGTTTGCATTGGTATCCATTGTTGATTTGGAAATATTTTGTTTGGATTTTTGTTCATTCATATTCATTGAGAATTGTCATTTGTTGGTGCATAGAGAATGGTGGATAGTTGTTTGTCGTTTAAACAGATATCATTTCTTCTATTTATATAGTAGGTGCCTTCTGTTTTTTCTACGACATAAAATGTGGATGTTTGTTTGTCGTCAACAGTCAATGATAAACGTCATTGAGTTTTAAGAGATAACATAGTTGTCGACAAAGAGAATGAAAGAAAAAAATCGAACAACGTCATTGGTTGCATCACTATTCTTTCCAACTTTCGTTTGACTTTCAGCTTTACGATAACTCAAGTCACATTACGTTGGATATCTTACCTCATACATCGTTTCTTATCAGAGTGACTATATTCTGTTTTTTTCTGATAAGAACGAAAAAAGACACAAAGACATCATTAGTTCGATTGCTTTCATTCTGCTTTTGATGGAAATCCTGATCGTGTGAACGAACAAGCAAGAAAAGTAAATTGAATTTTGAATGAAGTAACGATCGAAAGATATTTCTACTTACCAGATTTATTGCTGTTAGTTAACGAGTGGTTCAAGTAAAGAATGCTGCACATTCAGGGTGGGCCAAAAGTCACTTCATCAAGAAAAAAAGCATGAGTATCTCTGTCATAATTTGACCAAATGGACTGATGTTTACACTACTAATAAGGGAGTACTCATAATTGACATTCCTACGAAAAATGCTAGAAAACACTGCTTTAAAATATTACTATTAATATGAATATAAATCTGAAGTCTCTGATGAGCTATGAGAAAATAGTCTGATCCATATGATCAAAAATAATGAACAAGAAATATTTCCAATCAACGCTTCAATCAATTCTTACTTAGTGCTTCCGGAAACTTCTAATTACTAATAACTAGATATATTCAGTGAATAATTTACAAAAAGTTATTTATTTTTTCATATTCATCAAAGTATCGTGCAGATACTCAAGGGTTTCTTCTCGATAAAATAACTTTTGACCCACTCTCTATTGTGCTTGATCATGAGAGATATGCATCACACTCGATTGTGGGTATGGGCGAAGTTCTCACTGTAGATACATCTTCAGTCTTGCCATAGTTAGAATAGTGCATTGTTGAGTTATTCGTTGTGAACTGAAAGTTTTGAAGCAAAGTCTTCCTTTCTGTTTTTTGGACCAATGAAAAGGTTCAGTCGAAATTTTATAGAGTTGACTAAGAATCAGAATTTTGTAGGTGAATCTGTGAAAAGATTAATAATAAATTATTTTATTTTGGTTAAATACCGTTCGTCGTACTTTAAATCGAAATGGTTTCACTTGGAAAAATGACGAGTACTTCCCAAAAATAGTTATTTTATAGTTTTTCCTAATATCACTTTATTTGTCATATCTTAGTGACCTTTGTTAAAATAACATTTTAATTTCGATAATTACCGATTCAACTCAAGTAGGAAAGCCTAAGCATCGCTGGAGTATCGGTAAACCCAGATTGCTTCTCAACTAAAACAAATTATAAACGAAAGTTACTAAGAAATGGCAAATAGAGCGATATTAGGAAAAACTATAAAATAACTATTTTTGGAAAGTACTCATCATTTTTTCAAGTGAAACCATTTCGATTTAAAGTACGACGAACGGTATTTAACTAAGATAAAATAGGCCACTTTGTAGCGAATTTCACGATGCATCTTTCTATGATAAAATCATGTCTTTTGGATGAAAGAAAAACAGAGTTAGAGATAAAATACTGAGGAGACCATTTATTCTGCCGCACCCGTTATTACAATTTAAGATGTACGCAATTTTTAATTATTTGAAAAGTAATAAATTTTAAGAAAAAGCAGCTTTTTTTTCTAATCTAATATTGGATAATTTGTTATTCTAAAACGTCATTTTCATTTTTGATGTTGTCATTGCATATTTTTATATTTGTTAATTTTTAATAAATTGAAATAATTCAATATCTACTGTAGCATAAAAAATATATATTGAATATTTTGATAATCATTTCTGTCAGTAATTTGATTCTGTCTAAAGTTAAATTCATTTCTTCAATGAGCTTTGTTTAGAAGAAAATATTTTTTAAATAATTACAATAGTAACAAATTGTTTTCTAGTATTTTTATGTGATATGGTACGATTATTGACATTAGTTTTTTTTTTTGATGATAATTCTTCTACAGCTAGACAAAGAAATGGTTCTATGAAAGTGCATCTGTTTTTGTTTTGGATATATAGAAAACAAAAACTATGATCCAGTTGTCTTTTAGAATACTATTATATATATAGGTGTTACGTGATTGAAGCAGGATCATGAGATCAGCTAGCGTTGTCAAACATGGAACAAAGACTTTGATAAGGACTGTTAATGTCAAAGACAAAAAAAGCTATTCGTCTTAATAATCAGAGTTGGACACGGTTCAAGGTTTTCAAAAATTCGCACTGAACCGAAAAAGAAATTTTTTGAAATTTCATTATCAATAACAAAAAATTGATGCAGTTTTCATCATAATTTGTTCGTTTTATTTCAAGCAATTGTTATCTTAATTCTTATCGATATGATAGATGACCCCAAATCAAATGACTTCTCTATATTCAAAGGATGTGAATGTGAAGTGCTTTGAATAGAATTGAAGGGTCTTTCTTAGTATTTTTATTTAATTAAAAACGATAACTTCCATGAATACATATATGGGCGTGGCCAGTTGACATGATACCCCAATTTGCTTTCTTTCTATTACCAGTTAATAACCTAATCATATTCGGGTCAAATTATCACTCTCATCGCTAAACTACTAAATTTAAAATATTAGCTGCTGATCGCTGTCTTATATGAAACTATTCAATCCCTTAAAAAACGATAAGACACAATTTCAGGAACTGAATAGTTTCATATAAGAAAGCGATCAGCAGCTAATATTTTAAATTTAATAGTTCAGCGATGAGGGTGTTAATTTGACCCAAATATGATTAGGTTATTAACTGATAATAGAAAGAAAGCAAATTGAGGTATCATGTCAACTAACTACGCTCATATGAAAAATCTCTCGTAGACTAAAGCTGTTTTGTAGAATAATTGGTATTCAGGGTAATGATCTCTCTGCTATTTCTGTGTTTCGAAGAGAATGCTTAATTTTTACTACGAATGCTCTATTTTTC